CTCTGACAGTGCCGCGGGTGAGTGGCGGGACCTACAACAGCAGGGCAGTCGTGGTCCTGGACAGCATCCAAGTCTTTTCCCAAATGGGCTGGAATCCCTTGATTCTATTACAGTTCACTTGAGCTCATAATGATTGTGGTGCTTTTTAAAATGCACTCAGTGGCATTGTAACTAGACCCAGTCATTGTCTGAGTACCGGCATCCAGTTACAGTCCCTGTCACTGCAGCTGGACCCAATCACTGTCTGAGTACTGGCATCCAGTTACAGTCCATGTCACTGCAGCTGGATCCAATCGCTGTCTGAGTACCGGCATCCAGCTAGAGTCCATGTCACTGCAGTTGCCCCAGTTCCAGTATCTACTTGTTTACTGTCACTACATTCCCAATAGCAAGATTTATCAGGCCACAAATGTTTTGTTTTATTTCTGTACTTTAGGGAAGATTATTATCCCAACAAAATGATCCATCATTTCCAGAGAAGGTATGATGTCAATTATTCACCCTCGCTAAGATGTGCACTGTTTGAAAGACATTATTTTCAGTTTATTAGTTTGTTGGAACAGAGAACCAGGAACTTTTAATGGGCTTGTTAGAGAACATATACAGATTATATTTTCAAAATTCTGACCTTTTTTTTGTAATGGAACCAGACTCAATAAACCATGGAACATGGAAACCAGAAAACTATGAATCCATCATTAAATAATGATGCCATTACCATATTTGGTCTGACTATCTCAATGCTTTATATGAGAATAATTAATTTTCTGTATCCGGGATGTTATCCAATCCGGTCCTCGAGGACCACCAGATAGTCCATGTATTTGCTCCCACCCATATCCCTGCCAGACCATCCACATTTTTGCTCCATCCCAGGGAGTAGAACCTTGGGCTGTCTGCAGGTCCCTGAGAACCGGATCTGGAAACTCTGACCTAAAGGATGCTTTGATTTCTCAGGAACCATCCTAGTGGCCTCCTGGTGTCTCTCCAAGCACCTCTGCAGTCATCGTGGTTTTGCCCTTCATTGCGCATTGGCTGATGCAGCTCTGCCTGCAGCGACACAGAGGGTAAATACCTTTGATCCAGAGGGACAACAATACAGATGCTCCTCTACTTACGAACTTTCAACTTACGAACTTTCAGACATACGAACGAAGAAGACTGTACAGTAAGTCCAAATTGTGTTCCTTGGGCTCCCGTTTCCTGTCCGCAACATAATTTTTTTTCTGCACGCCAATTCCGCCTACTACGACTCCTGGCCGCTACTCCCTCCACACAGCAGTGTAGTGTACGTAGTCCCAGCATCCTAGTGCTTAGTACTTGCGTATACCCTTAAAATGATGTTGAATAACGACTTACGAACAAGTTGCGAACGGCTGTTCGGAACGTATCTCATTCATAAGTAGAGGAGTGTCTGTATTTACATAAATTAGCCCAGTCGGCCCAACTTTCAGTGCAGAGGCGGGTTTGTTTACGCACATCTAGCAGAGGTGGAAAGATCAGGTCCAGGAAGTAAAAATCCAGACCATACTTTTGTTTTAACCAATCAGTTGAGTATAAGGAGTCAGTGTCTGAGAATGTTCAACTGATTGGTTGAAACAAAACCATGGTCTGAATTTTTATTTTCTGGACCTAAACCTTCCACCTCTGACACCTGGTATATCCTTCTGACTAATGCTTATTTCTCTTACAGAAAACTGACTTCACAATCAGAGGGCCCTTGTAAGTCTGCTCCAATGATAACCACTGTGCAAATGTTTGTGAATTATCTTTTTCTGCGTGTATGGTTCATAAATTTGGTCTTGTATACAGTCTATTCCATAGAGATATGGCAGTGTAAAATGTGAGTGGTAAAAAAAAAGATTGTCTTTACTATTATGGACTTTGATGTAAAGATCAGGTGACATTCATGAAGAAATGAAGAAAATTAAAAAGGTTCACAAACTTTTTTTTTTTTTTAAATCCCCCCTCTCCCAACAAATGTAGTTTGCTGCTGAAGATGCAATTGGACCTTAAATTGCTTCTCATTGTGGAGTTAAGGTGTCTCAGATCACCGTGCCTAACTTTAAAAGACTGAAAGAAAACCACTGCTAAGGATATTTTTATATGTGGTTTGGCAGCAGCAAACAATCCCCAAATGCAATGCATGTGCAGTAATCATTCTGTGGATTTTCATATCGAGTATTCAGTTAGCTTACCCCTGAAATGCTTGGTTATAATGAGATTAAAACAATGCATCATGCTGAACCACTTACTCAAATAGAAATTTTGTCAGTTAGTGTTTATGGACAATCTGTTATAATGACTTGGTCATGTAGGTTTCATGATTTATCACCAATTTTTATCGCATACTGCTGCTTGGGCAGATATCAGGTGAATGTGCACCGCTGTGTTCCCTCACAGGTGCATCATAATCATGCAATGTTTATGAAGATTGTGGTAATGGGATTTCTTGATGAGATCTTTGGCTGAAGGCAGCACATGGAAATAAAGAGTTTTGGTGTACAGTAAATCTCTGTTGTGTAAATTGGTGAATAAACAAATGGCACAGAAAAATCTGTAATATTATAATTAAAATGCATTATGTCGTTGCATCTTTGTAGGAATGGCAATTGTAGGAATAGTCCTTTTGCAACGTATGCTATATTTCACTGTAAATTAAAATGGCCATGCTCTAAAGCTGTTTCTGTTTTTATTCATTCTGTGTCATTTTTAAATATATAAAATTATATATTTGGTGTTTTTTTTCCATACACCCTAATACTTTATAGTTGTAGACGTTTCTAAATCCCTCAACCCGAATAGGATAAGCGGTCTCAGGAAATGGATGGATGGACGTTTCTAAAGGTCGAAACATGTATCGCAGTGACATCTAGTGGCCAAATATTGCTCAATAAAACCAATATGTAAAAGAAAAGTTAAATGAAGTATGTATAATTTGCTGTATGCGTTTAATAAATCATAATTGCGGATAAAATGTGTTGCTATCCATATACTTTAATTTGTTGTACTGATCATGCGAATATTTAAACGTACTGTTTGTCTAAAGGGTTTTGTGTTTCTAAAATGAATGGTCTAATAATCTAATGGGCTAAATTGTTTGCAGTAATGTGTTCTGATCCCTGATTCTGATCCCATTCATTGCATAGTTTTTCTTTTCTCAATTTCTGTACTGAAACGAGGCAAAACATTTTAAATGTTTCGAAAACTAATTCAATGAAGCCCACGAACAGACTTTCATTTTGATAGAGACTTCAGAACAATGTACCACAGCATTTAAAATGAATAGGAACAGTGTTCCGAGTTTGACGGCACCTTGAAGCTTTCGGGATCAAACTAATCCTTGCTTTGCTCGTAAAACCCGAACCGAGTCGAACGTGATTAAATTTCTTCTGGCATCGCATTAATATTACCAATATTACTATTCATATCCTCTATTGTTGTTAAAGAAACAACAATTAAAATGTTCAGATCGGTTCGATGGTAATAATAATGTTGAATATTATATTTCATCCCGCGGACTTTACTGCCAGATCCCCAAATGATGATGAATTTGCAGTAAAACACAGCTCCACGTTCACTGTTAGGCTTAACTTCAGAGTTATTCATCGGCAGCTCGCACATGCACCGACCCGGTAGTGATCATGTTAAACCCGGTGACCCACAGAAGCCATTTGCAGTTTCGTGCTGGGAGCCGCAGTCCGGACGGCGAGGACTGCAAAGCAGCGGATGCCAACACGGGTATATATCTGTACCCTGTTGTCGCCGATCGCCGATTTCTACCCGGAAAAGGAGATGTTTTCTCTGCCTGCTACGGTCCAGCCACAGGTAAGACGGGAAAAGGGGAGCTGGTACTGTCCTACCCCCGGCTATAAACGCTACAGTCCGGACAAATTGCTTCGCCACTTCGGCCTCTGGATTCGTGATATTTGCAAAATCCTTAATGTCACCGCGCCGTCGGTCAAGTGCAATAATCCACCAGATACCGGTCCGGCTGATGCGGCAAACTGCAGATTTCTTAGCTAATGATCTTAGTGCATTTCACAATAACGACCGCTCGTTTGCAGATTATTTTTAGTTTATATGCTGCGCGTCTGAAATTATGTAAAGCTTGCACACCCATTCTTTGCCAGATAATATATAACTATATGCCCAACCCGTGAATTATGTGTATTTGCAAAGCTTTTCGTCTGCGAAGAATGTAATAATTTGAAAGGCTTTCTTGGTACAGCCCATAAGTGCCTCGCGGATGTGTCAGGTTAGTCCTTCGCTGCCTTTGACAGGTAACTGTCCCCCTGAGTCACCTGATCAATGCCCTCCATTCCCTGAAAAGTCCGCTATGCAGCGCGCCATCGGAGCGTCAGCCGAAGGATGCCGGTGTGGAGAGCGCCCAGCCCCCCCGGGAGGTAACGCGTCTCCACCATCATGCCTGCCTCCTAAATGTTTATTTCTGAGTTCATCAGTGCTCCTTTACATATGTCCCTTAATAATTTACCTTATTTGAGGACATTGGCAGTGTTTGCCGTCACTCAAACTATGCGTTTGTGTGCCCTCCGAGGTTTGAGTGCCCCCTGTTCACCACAAGCAGTCACTGCACCAAATAATAAATAAAAGGCGTTCCTTATTTATGAGATGCCGATGCAGTATCCTCCACCTACTAGCTATTTACCTAAAATCTTCAGACTCTACCCACTACCTGTTTATTTAGATTTTGAAACTTCTAAGGGGGGCAAAAGTGAGTTTTGGGGAGGGGCCCTTGGGACTTTCCTTTTTTTGGTGACCTAATCCACTTTGCCTGCATTACGTGGCTGCTGGTCAGTGTTTGCCCACATGGTGGCGTCCTGTTACACCTGTTTCTGTAGTCGGGTGTCAGTCTGAGGGACCTGGGCTTGGGGGACCTGAAGCCAGACCACTTCCCGCAGCTGGGGGACGCCGGGCTCGCTGGCTGGAGGACTTCCTATATCTCCTCAGCGTCTTTCTTTCAGAACAAGTATGGTGAGTCAGAGCCTGATCCTTCCCTTTTCCTTCCATTTAACCGTAATCCGCGGTCCTGATTACAAGCTAAGGCCTTTATAACGCCGTTCGAGTGCATACGACCGCTTAGGCCTTTTCGTTTTTCCAACAGTATCCTTTTTGTCACTTTCAGGGTTCCCCGGAAGCACGATGGGCCTTTCCAGCTCTCTCGCGTTTTGTAAACAGAGCGCCACACCCCTTCAGCTGGTCTGTGCCGGTCTTCAGCACTGGCCAGGTAAAGCAGAGAGCCTTGACTCTGCCTCTATGTCACTATGGAGGTTGTTTTATAAACAAAAGCGTATGGTGAATAAGCAGTGGGATTGAAAACACTCATTAAAAACTAGTTTATCAGTCTTTTTGTTTTGATAGTTTGGACCCAGAGTCGAGGCTTTAAGACGCTGAAATCCAAAACGCGACGGCTACAGTCCGGTCAGGAGCGCCCTGTAGAAAATGATGGTTTCACGCCATCCTTCATGAAGGTTGGTTGTGGCTGTCCAGCCGTCGTACGGCACCTTCAATGTGGTTGGCAGCAGGCCAATTAAGATTTTAATTATAGTTAGATCTTCATTGGCATTTTCTGTATGAAAAGGATGTTTTGAATATACGTATATTATATATTTTTCTAGAATTTTCTGAAGAAATTTCTAGTGTTGTGATTGTATAGTTTGATCAAGACAAGTGAGAGAGGCCAGCGATGCAGCTCGGTCTCGTGTGTCAGGTTATGCCATTTCTGTCAGTCCACCCCACCCCCGCCCTCGCCCGCCACCCCCTGTGGAGTTCCGTGACCTTTTTTCTCGCTACAAACTCCCAGCGACTTTTATCTCCCAGGGCATCCTCACGAGAGACAAAGGATCAGAGTTGGAAGCTCTGGACAAACTTCTGAAGACCAAGAATATCCCAGAAGCACAGCATGATGCCTTCAAGATGGGTTTCGCTGAGGGATTTCTCAAGGCTCAGACTCTCGCCCAGCGAATGCAAGGTGGGCATCTATACAAACGCTCCCGGATACTCTGTATAAGCTGGAAATCCCAAACATTACCTCGTCAGATATCAGTGACATTAGCCACGTGGCTTTTGCCTTTAACAGCACAAAGTTGTAAATTGTATAGATATTTTTAGGGAGCTTGTAAGATCTGCTTGCCATGTAGATTTGCTCCAGGTTCTCCTCACAGTGGAACACATTATTATACAGCTCTGGAAAAAATTAAGAGACCACAGCAAAATTTTCAGTTTCACTCATTTCTCAGTGTATGTCTCTCATTAATGAAGGGCTTCTTCCTTGCTTTATGGGTCTGCAGTCCTGCTTCTAGCAGCCTGTTATGAATTGTCCTAGCAGTGCACTTCATACCACTTAATGTTTCCCATTCTTTTTGAAAGTCGCTTGAGGTCATCCTTTTATTTCATGAGGGACTGTTGAATAAGTTGACAGTCATCTCTGGCATTTGAAAGTCGCTTCCACCCTCTACCTGGCTGGTTTCCAGTCGTCCCCAGTGTCTCCTGCTTCATATTGTTCTTGTCTTTCTCAGCCTGGAAGCAGCCAGTCACAGTGTAACCTTCTGCCAGCAGAACCAGGATTAAACCAGGAATTGCAAATGCAGATTTTTAAAAATATAGAGTGGTCTCTTAATATTATCCAGAGCTGTAGATTTTGCTTCAAGTTTCTGACTGTGTGAAGGGATGAGCTGGACCAGGAGATGGTTGGAATTTCCCAATAGGACCCTGATGACAGCCTGGTATACATCCTTGATGGTGCTGTGGCAGGGGTCCAAGATTCTGTCTTCCCATGCAGAGTTTCTATAAATTGTTTATATTTCTGGAGTCCAGCACTGATGTTGGTATGGTTGATGTCTCCTATGATGATGAACAGTGAGCCGGGTGTTTGTTTTTCATCAGCATTCTGGTCAGCCAGCTGTTCCTGCACTGACCATGGGGATGGATTTGCATTGCGTGTACCTACTGTAGCACTTGTGTTGCTATCAACGTCTAGTATCCGTGTCTTTTTGGATTTGCTGGTTCAAAATCCCATTCTATAACATTCTATTCAATTCGATTCCTTTTATATAGCGCCTTTCACAACAGAGTCGCCCAAAGGTGCTTAACATGAGTGTGTTGTGATACATTCCTACATCATTTATACAGAATGATAAAAAAGAAGAAGAAAAACGGGAAAAGAAAGCCAAAGAAATGAAAGAAAGAAAAGTCAGATGATTACAGAGTAGAGAAAACTAAGACTCCCAAGTCAGGAGTAGAAGAAACTCTGGGGATCACAGGTCAGCTGGCTGCCCAACCACCGAGTTGGTATTTAAAGACTGAGACCGATTTCGGCATCCAGAGCATGAGCTTGCAAACATTCCACAATATAGTGGCCCTGTAGGCTTTACTGCCATCAGTGCCACAGTGTTCTGTGATCTGAGTGCCTTACATTCTCATTGGAGAACTTCGACGTCAGTTCTGAACTTACCAGGAAGCCAGCGCAGAGAATTAAGGGTTATGTGGTCAGACTTCCTGTTGGTGACAATATGAGCTGCTGCTTTTCGAATATGTTGCAAGTTCACCCAAATTCAGTTAGGGACGATGTCCATGGCCTTGGTGGTCTGTACTCTATCAGAGGTGGATACTTCACATCTAGAAAGTACAAATCCAGACAAATCAGATTTTGTTTCAACCAATGAGTTGAGTTACTCTGTAAATGTGACTCTGTACTCAACTCATTGGTTGAAACAGAATCTGATTTGTCTGGATTTGCACTTTCTGAACCTGAACATTCCACCTCTGTATACCATAAGAATATAGATGGGCAGGTCAGATGCCATTTGAAGTAGCATTGCTTCAGGTGTTGTAAAATCTTGTGATTTTTTTGGTTGGATTTTTAACAGTGAATTAAAATGGCCACCAGGCAGCTATAAGCCTAGAGCCCCAGGTATCTGCCTGAAAGAAAAGACTCATTTAATCTCATCGTTGGGTTTGATATTAAGTTATCGGTACAGGAGCCCCTAGTGCGACATTCAGGTTTAAGTCTCGCCCTAGAAATAGTTACTATATTCTTTCTAGTTTCATTCCGTTGTTTCTAAATGGTTCTTAGACTTAGGGGTTGCGGTTTTATAAAGCATGAGAAAATTCATTCCCATACAGAGAATCATTTAGAACTCGTGCTCTTCTCATGACCCGGTATTGTACTGCACATTTCAGAATTTAATTTCTTTCTGGCTTGGGGGAAATGAAATGTCGTGATGTGAACAGATGGTCGTTTGCCTGCTTCCTGGATGCTGAGCGTCACTGGGTGGTTCTGCCTTTGTTTGACAGACTCTCTGAGGAGGACCCGGCTGGTTCTGCTGGTTCTCCTGCTCCTGGGCATCTATGGACTCTCCCGAACACCCTTTTTATCAGGTAAAGGAACCTCGTCGGCTGCTTATGGTCCCTCCTCCGCCACAGTCTGTGTCCCCATCGCATCTTATAAACTGTCTTGGGGATAGTCTGTTGTGTCCCATATGGACAATCTTTAAGAATCTTTATGTTCAGAACAGACAACCCTGGCTTTGCAAGTAATTTGTATTAATTGAAACTGAACTAGACTGAGTTGTTCCCATTAACCATGAACTGTCTGATATAACCGAACTGAAAGAGAGCATATTGTACATTGCAGAAACACTGTTGATCTACAGTGTAAATGTTCATAGTGGGTAGGGTGTGGGTCCTGCAAGTTAAGCAGTGGGTTCAGAAGATCGTCGGTTCTAATCCCGTGGTCAGTAGTGTGATGCCACTGTTAGGTCCTCGTGCAAGGCCCTTAACCCCAAGTGTTCCAATGGGTGCTGGATGCTAGACGATCCTGGGCTGTGACCCCAAAACTTGCTCTTACTTGTGTTTGTGTGTCTCATAGAAGAGCAAGGTGGGATATGAGAAAATGCAATTTCCTCATGGGGATGAAATAATGAATCTCCCATCCCATCCCCGTCCCGTCCCATCCCATCCCATCCCATCCCATCCCTATCCTGCACAGGAGTCACAGTTTATCATTGTGCATCAAAGTGTGAACAAATTAATACAACTAATTAATACCTGTTCTCTCTGTCTTGGAGATTAAATTCTAACAGCAGATACAAGTGATCTTCCTCTAATAAGTTCCTATTATTCACAGAGATTGACAGTGTAGATGCTTTGATTGCACCCTTGTTTCACAGGAAGTGTTAACCCCGTACTTTGGGTTTGATGTATGCATGGCACTGTGGGAGTGTGAACTTTGACCCCGCTGTTCCTGACAGTGCGATTCCGAACCACGTCAGGCCTGGATGCCGGCGTGGACCCCGTCCAGATGAAGAACGTCACCTTTGAGCACGTCAAGGGTGTGGAGGAGGCGAAAAACGAGCTCCAGGAGGTCGTGGAGTTCCTCCGGAGCCCTCAGAAGTTCACCGTGCTTGGTGGGAAGCTGCCCAAGGGTAGGAAGGAATTCCCCCGGCTCCCAGAGAGCTGCAGGACTGGTCCTCACTGTGTCTCAAGGCGTTTGTTAGTGCTGGACAAACTCACCAAAGCAAATCAGCAGCGAGCAGCAAACCTTTACATCAATATAATACATTTACAAATGTTCTTATAAAGGAGCATTTTTATTAATTACAAAAAACTGTTTACTTTTATGTAGCTTGAAACTGACATGTTTTATTAGATTATTAAAGTATATTCAGCTCAATGGCAACATTATAACTGTGTACTTAGCTCGATAAGAATTGTCTCTCTGACATGCTTTATCAGAATAATAATGTATATTTAGCTAGATAACAACATGTATTATTCATTATTACTGTATATTTAGCTTGGTACCAACGTTTGCTCCACCGTCATGATTTTGATTTTTACCATGCTAAATTGCCTTACTGATACGCATTTAATTACAAACCTAACTATATTACTCATAAATCCGAATTTTCAGGCGCAGACTGAAGCAGTAGCTATAAATCATATAATGCTGAACAATTAAATATGGAGAATTATTTTGTTCTAACATTATAATCGTTGGTAAGGTGGCTACATACAGTTAACAGGGTGTCTATGCTATGGTTTGGCGGCATATTAAAAATTCATAATTTTTCAAAATTAAAAGTGGTATACAGGATCAAGCAGTACGCCGCCCAACCGGTATAACGCCAAACACTAACGTATTTCATGTTATTTAAATTTCTTACATTTATATTCAGTTTATTACTGTTTTTTGCACTATGAGCAACGAGATTTTGAAATTTCAAAGATAGATTGGCCTAAAAAGGTAAAAAATATTTGAAATATAGACGAGGATGGGTAGGGCAGGGGGGGAATCAGACTGAAAGGCGCACACGGTTGAGCAGAAATGGGTGGGTGTAAATATCGGGTTTAGCTGCGAACCTGCTGACATGTGCGGGCGTTCTGCCAGGCATTCTGCTCGTGGGCCCCCCGGGCACGGGGAAGACCCTGCTGGCACGAGCCGTGGCGGGGGAGGCCGACGTTCCCTTCTACTACGCCTCCGGCTCCGAGTTCGACGAGATGTTCGTGGGCGTGGGAGCCAGCCGCATCCGGAACCTCTTCCGTGAGTCACCCTCCCCCGGGTGCCACGTCACACGTCGGGTAACTTTCCGAAAGGGTCCCTGGTAGGAACGCGTTCCACGTTCCAGGTTCTGCCATTTTCACCCTCAGGGGAGGCGAAGGCCAACTCGCCCTGCGTGGTCTTCATCGACGAGCTGGACAGCGTGGGTGGGAAGAGGATCGAGTCCCCCATGCACCCCTACTCCCGGCAGACCATAAACCAGCTGCTGGCGGAGATGGACGGGTGAGAACCCTCCCCCCCCGCCCCAGCAACAGTTCCCAGGGAGCCCATTTTAACCGAAAGTGTTCATTCCAGTTAATGTTCTAACACCTGCAGGTTTAAACCAAATGAGGGTGTCATCGTCATCGGCGCTACTAACTTTCCAGAGGCTTTGGATAAGTATGTCGATGCTTTTTTCTTTAAGCAGACTATTTATGTAATTAATGTTTATGGCTACAAAGATTGATAGTATTTTAACACGCATCCATCCAGCTATCTTCTAACACCTCATCCCTGTGTTTCGACGGACTAGTAAAATACTTAATAACACTTCAGTTAGTTAACTACAGAGGTGGTGATTTCAGGTCCAGAGAGTATAAATCCCAGACCAAGATTTTGCTTCAACCAACCAGCTGAGTACTCTGTGACTGTGACCCATTATACTCAACTGGTTGGTTGAAGCAAAATCTTGGTCTGGGATTTATACTCTCTGGACCTGAAATCACCACCTCTGGTAAACTAGGCATGTTACCTAGCACTGCGGTAACACTGGAGAGCTGCAGAGCTGACCATGATCACAAGAGGCCTTTAATATCCTTTTTTTTGCAGTGCTCTGATACGACCAGGAAGGTTTGACATGCAGGTCACAGTCCCCAGACCAGACGTAAAGGGCCGTACTGAGATCCTGAAGTGGTATCTCAAGAAAATTAAAGTGGATTCTGGTACGTTTTTGGTTTGAGTCAGAGTGCTGAGATGTATCCCTGTAGGCGCTTGTTTGCTTTATGGTTATGGTCTGACTCTTACATTCATCTTTGTGGAATTTTTGGCTGTAGCTGTTGAGCCTGAGATCATCGCCAGGGGGACGGTGGGCTTTTCTGGGGCCGACCTGGAGAACCTGGTGAACCAGGCGGCGCTGAAGGCGGCGGTGGACAGTAAGGACATGGTGACCATGAAGGAGCTGGAGTTCGCCAAGGACAAGATCCTCATGGGTGAGCGAGGCGTGCCCGAGCTTCCGTGGGCTGCTGGGAAAGCGGAGCTCTGTGGCACGGAATGACAGCGGCACCGTCACCTGTGTCCGCCAGGCCCGGAGCGCAGGAGCGTGGAGATCGACAAGAAGAACAGAACCATCACCGCGTATCACGAGTCCGGCCATGCCATCGTGGCATACTACACTAAGGACGCCATGCCCATCAACAAAGCCACCATCATGCCACGCGGGCCGACTCTGGGTCATGTGAGTAACCCACACTGTGGGGCATGTGCTGGCGTGCCAGTATTCTGCTTCCTGCTCTTGTGGTTGGTGGGGAAGGAGCTAACCTACATGGTTTTGCTTGCCCCTGGTGGATATGTTGTAAGGACTTGCATATACGCAAGTATCAATCTGTCCTCATTGGGTGTTTGCTGTGCGACTGTCCCTCCATCCTCCTGTAGGTCTCCATGCTCCCAGAAAACGACCGCTGGAGCGAGACCCGCTCACAACTGCTGGCCCAGATGGACGTCAGCATGGGCGGCAGGGTGGCTGAGGAGCTCATCTTCGGGAGCGAGAATGTCACCACTGGTAGGGACGGCAGCACACGCGGGGGAGGAAGAGAGTGAGGATGAAGATCCTCTGGACTTAATTCTGGGTGTCTGCTCTTTTCGGTAGGGGCGTCTAGTGATTTCGATAGCGCGACAAAAATAGCAAGAATGATGGTGACCCAGTTTGGAATGAGTGAAAAAGTAAGGGACATCTATCTTCCTGTCTAGTTTTGTCTTCAGTGCCATCAATTTTTGCTGCCTTATTGCTGCTGTAAAATAGATGCTGGTAATTTAGCGATTTCTCCTCTGCAGCTGGGGGTCATGACGTACCCTGACCTGTCAAAGCAAAGCCCAGAAATACAAGCTGCAGTCGAGCAGGAAGTGAGAACGTTGCTGAAGGTAACCGCCCGCATCTTCTTCAGGTGCTCTGTGCAGTGAAAAGAAGAATGTTTGTTAAGGGAAAGACATCCGCTTTGACAGAACAGGCAGTTTCCAACTTAAGTGAAACAGTCCAGTAAATGTATACTTGCACAATAAAGATCTAAGATGCATAAAGTTTACGGAAGCTCTAATACAATAACGTGACATACGCCTTTAAGTAAAGTTATACTTGATCTTTTCATTTGTATAATGTGTTCTATGTTCTTTAGTACGTATTGCTAGTATATTTTTGGCGTATGTGTTTTCGCTTTAAGGTGTACTGAATCGCATGGGAAGGTAAATCGGGCTTACGTAAAATGTGACGTGCGTAAGGGTTTGGGGAACGGATTACCGCCGAGAGCCGAAGCGGCTGTTTGGCCAGAACTGTTAGGATTCCGCAAAGCTGTCTTTGTGTCAAACAAACGGGGCGTGATTCTCTCGGTACAGGAGTCCTACGAGCGAGCCAGACACATCCTGAAGACGCACGGCAAGGAGCACAGGAACCTGGCGGACGCCCTACTGATGTACGAGACGCTGGACGCCAAAGAGATCCAAACGGTCCTGGAGGGGAAGACGCTCGACAGCAGATGATGCCCTCGTGCTGGGACAGGAAGGTGGAGTCTCTGCTTGGCCTTCAAGGACCAATCATGCGGCTTAGACCACGCATCCGAACCTGCGGCTTCACGAGTGGCAGCCTCTGCTCCTTCATGTTGGGGCCACTCACCTGCTGTCTTCCTGGCCCAAGGAAATTGGTGTTTCAGGCCAAGGTTGTCTCAGGGTTAAGCTTGTTTGTTTTCTTTGCTCTTTTGTGTTTCTTGGTGCTCATGGAGCCCTGTTTTGGTAATACTCTTCGATTATTCATTTCAAATTCATGAAAAAGTGAACCTTTTATTTCAAATACCTCTCATCTGCTACTACTGTATATCATATTATCTAATGTTCCTCAGCAATCTGTGTTATATGCTGCTGCCACCAGAGGGCGCTTGTGGTGAAATCATTATTAGTCAGTGTTTGAGAATTTAATCAGAGGGTATGCCCTTTCAGAAGTGTGATTTTTCTGTATATGTATAGGAGACCTAAGCAATTTAAGAAATGTTAATACATTTGGCACTTTATTAGATGGGAAAGCATATTTATTTGTATTCTTGTTGAGAAAACAAGTTAGTTTACTGTCTTCGGTCATTTCAAACGTTGTATTCAATTATGTGCATTGGTGTTTTAGTGGTGTATATTACTTTTTTGTTTTCATTTCTGTTGCTTCAGGAAATGAGACCTTGATACTTGTATTTTAGAGGAAGAAGGAATAAGAAAAGTCTGCTAGGAATAACGCTGTCTGTAGAAAGGTAGTTCGTAAAGGTGGAAATGTTCAGACAGTCAGCACTGTGGAGAAAAGAAAATTCCACTTATCAATTCATGCAATTAAGTTTGCCTCCATATTAAGGGTCAGTGTGATTTTTTTTTTTGCCTGCTTTTAATGACTGAAGTTTAGAATTTTTATTTCAGTCTTCAGAAGGTTAGTGTTCCTGGAAAGGAATCCTGCAGAACCTTTAGAACATCCTGTCCTGTCAGAGGTTATGCTAAAGTTTTCCTCAGTCCCCATACAGACCCTTTCTGATTGTTTCCAGCACAAATGTTTTCACTTACCTGAAGCTAGTTTTAAATTTACAGCATTATATTTTTATTTGGCGTTGCACAGATTAGGATATATAAAGACATGTAAAAGGAATGCTGTAAATAAGGCAAATGCTTGAATGAGTATTTTTGATTATGTATGAGTTGTATATTGGCTTTCCGTGCTTTCCCATTTATTACAATCGATTAAGAAAAAATGACAAATAAAGCTTGTTAAAAATCTTGTGTTTTAAGGCTTGTTTCTGATAGACCGCTTATATTTAGTTTGCAATTAAGTCTTATTATTGAGTAAGGGTGTAGCGCAGTGGGCTGTGCCTGTGATCAGAAGGTCGCCGGTTCAAACCCAGCCTCAGCACGTCTGCTGGCCCTTGAGCAAGGCCCTTAACCCCCGGCTCCTTCGCGGACAGCTTACTCTACGAAGAGCAAGGTGAGGGAGGCGTAAAGACAATTTCCCCATGGAGATTAATAACGTATCAATTATTATTATTATTATTATTATTATTATTAATAAAATAAAATCGTTGAACATATGGTCTGTCACTAAGCATGTTTACTGTCACGTATTTCATGCAGTGAGATTATTGCTGGTCTCCTACCAGTCGTCAGTTAACGCAAATTTAATGATTGACAATAGATAACGACGTCAGACAAATAGGACTTGGCAACATTAAGTACCACACGAAAATAAAACAACATGAAACAAATATTAATGCATAATAAAGTGTGCAAATGCCCAGTAGCCTTATAAGGTGACATTAAACCACATGGTTCAGAAAGAGAGTGTAAGTGCTGATGTTTACGTGCCGTCTGTCAGTGAGGCGGGAGACCAGGGCCTGCGTAGGGAGACTGCAGTCACTGGCGACGCCGTCCGCCTTTCCGAGGCAGTCTGTCAGGGAGGCGGGAGACCAGGGCCTGCGTAGGGAGACTGCAGTCACTGGTGACGCTGTCTGCCTTTCTGAGGCTATCCGCTGTGTAAATGGCCTGAAGTGAGGGCAGATGTGTCCTGGTGATGACCTTACCGCCCTCTGCAGGGCTCTGCGCTCCCGAGCTGGACGGTTTTCAGGATGAAATACATTCCCTGAGGATGGATTTCATTGTGCATCTACAGAAGTAAGGGCAACACTGAGGCTCAGTAAGGAGCACTGTTGCTTCATAACTCCAGGGATGGGGGTGGAGGTTGAATCCCTCTTCTGCTTTGGGGTTGTTGGGTTTACATGTTCTCCCCGGGTTTCCTCCAGGTTCTCAGGTTTTGTTTCTGTGAAGACAATCATTTATGCTAATTGGGATTGTGAAAATGCTCATAGTATTGTATTGTTTATGTGTACATTCCCATGTAGGATGTACTCCAGCGAAATGCTGCTTTGGACAGGCTCCAGGCCCTATTGTGACTTTGACCACAAGTCAAGACAAGTCAGATGGTTCTGTAGAAAGTGACAGGTACTGGTGTCATATGTAATTTTCACTGAGGAAATAAAGAAATTGTTCCTTCTTCATTGTTCCTGTTGTGAAGTAACACACAAAAAACCCACTTACTCCCCCCCCCTCCCCCACACACAAATTCCTCTATAGATGACAGCAGGACAATGGGTTTCTGTTTCCTGGAATTGATGTCCCACTCTGTCATGTTAAGGGTTAGGCTGCTGTACTGGCACTGCTCCCACGACGGAATTGGGGCTTACTCACTGCCCTGCAGGGTCCCTCTGTTAAGGATCTGGGTGGAGGAGGTTACACATACATTAGATGAGCGGCTCTCTTTGGGCCATTCGGATCATTTGATTCTGCACCGACCCGGCCGTAAGTCCAGGTGCGGTCAGTAGTACCGGCAGGGGCCCCGAAGTGGACTTGTCTGAGTCTCCATCTTGCAGAGGGGGAGACTAGGGCACACTATCCGTTACCCCAACTGTCATCTGTCCGACATTGCCCCCCCGGGCAACTCTCCTCAGCGCCCTCCTGCTCCTACCCTGCAGTTCCCTCCTGCTCCTACCCTGCAGTTCCCTCGGCACCCTCCTGCTCCTACCCTGCAGTTCCCTCAGCGCCTCCTGCTCCTACCCTGCAGTTCCCTCGGCTCCCTCCTGCTCCTACCCTGCAGTTCCCTCGGCGCCTCCTGCTCCTACCCTGCAGTTCCCT